TTCAAGAGTATTCAGTGATTTACTGGCAAAGGGAAATTTGATTGGAACAGGCAGAGCAAACAACCTTTGGTGCTGGACTCACTAATAAGTGTGCAGACACACCACAGAGAGGCACATGCACATGTATCCTTGCACTGTCACGTATTCGTGATTTCTGGGAGTTAGCTACGAGCTTGTTGATAGCAGCGGAAACGTCTTGATGCATTCTCAATCATCCAGGAAAGTAAATCTCCAAAAGCTGATTCTGATCATCTGGACGTAGCGTTTGTGGGAGAAACGTTTCTTCAGTCTCAGCTGACTGCAGGTTTCCCCAATCTAATAAACAGCACATTTGCATAATGACTGAAACCAGCCCACTGAAGGAACAGTTCCTTCCACTGCATTGATCAACAACCACTGTGGTTGATGATCAATGCAGTGGAACTGACCTCCCAGCCCATGATTCATCGCTGTATAAATAAAAGTGAATTTTTAATACATTCACTGGTCTCATTGCTTTGAATCAGAATTATTATCATCTACTTTAGAGTCTTAATAATCTTATACCACCCTATTGTTTGGTGATTCCTTTCCTTAATTGTTTAAATGTCACTTGCCTCACATCTGTCTCTTTACTCAGTCTTATGTTATTTATATGCAGTAGTTTGATGGCTACAGCCTCGATGCTTTTTCCATATAAAGGAAGATTTGCTTGCATGTTTCTATGATGAAAAAAAATCGAGCCATACATGCAAATCAGTAGAATCGTAGACGGAAGAAGAGAAGTGAAAGCGGGAGCGGGTGACTGCAGATAGAGACGAGGGGCGTCACCTGCTGATTACACTGGAAGACAGTTTCCTAATGAGTCTCTGGGCTTAATCACTAGCTTTCTTTGGAGTAGCTTTTTATAAATGATGGCCTAGTTTAAAGTAAAAAGCAGGGCGCGGCTAGCTTGTGATCAATAAGTCACTGTTGTCTCTCCAGCCCGACTAAAGGATCTAGTTCACAAATTTGTGGGTTATAGCAGAGTGGCTTTGCTGCTTTATTTGATCTGATCTAAGATGGATTTTATTGCAAATCTTCTGCTGTTTGTTCTTTTTGTTGATGGGAGCAAAACAGATGTCAATCATCTGTATTTATAATTCACGTGTCAGCTGTGAGTAACACATCTGCAGATTTGGGGGGTTTTCTCCTGGAAAGTGTAAAAATTCATCTCATGTCAAAGTTCAGCCAAAATACTGAGTGGGCGAAATCCACAGAGTAAAGCTGCTCCAGTGTCCCTGATGTTGACTAAGTGCCGTGAGACCAAGCCAAGCGTCTCTTAAACTTAGATCTAAAGCCATCTGATGAGAGGTGTGCTGGCAGGCAGTGGGGTGGTGATGGTGGCGGTTATTGCTGTTGGGCGGGGAAGGTTGATGGTGGTTCCCTACCTGGTCGGCAAGTTTTCCCAGCCTGTGAGGCTACAGCAGCAAAGAGGGGGCGGAGGAGGAGGAAAGTGAAGGGGTAGAAGAGGAAGTACAGAAGGAGGGAGGGTGGAGACAAAACCAAGTATGAGAAATGTGGGTGGGGTTACGCACAAAACAAGGAAGTAAGAAAAAAATGTCAAAAGGGTAAAACTCAGAAAACCAAAACAAGCAGTAAGAACAGAAAAGAGTCTTCAGCCAAATGTTAGTCTGCTCATTTAAAGCTGCCAAAGTTAAAGCTTACAGTTAGTGTGTGACGGTTTCAGTGTTACGACTGTGTTAGCGTGCAAATTAAACTCGCTGACGATTAAAAGGCTAAATTAGAGTTTCATATCTCCCCATTAAGTCTGTAAAATCGTTATATTATAATAACTTTTCTAACAATTCGTTTAATTCCTGACGTGGCTGAAAGCTGCAAATCAGATCTGAAATGTAAAAGCAATGATCAGCTTGAAATGGAGGATGGTCCTGAACCTGAGACA